TCACTGCTTTAACTCATTCTTCCTTTTTACAGCAAATATGAAATCCTATGTTGGTGTGGAAATGCAACAGTCACCCTGGATTCTATTAGATCTGCAGTGGGCTTTGTAGAGAGATAGTTTGTCACTGTGGGAAAACCTGGAACGGAACCCCATCCCTACCACATTCAGCATAAATAGGGACCTTAACGAATGAGGTGGAAAGAATATGTGATTATGGAGAGAACAGGAAACAAAAACAACCAGAAAAGTATTTCCTTACGTTCACATGTGGGGGTTCTTGTCTTACTAGTTTAGTAGTTTGTGTTTTTGTCGTTGTTTTGACACTGGGGAGCGAATGCAGGGCCTCATGCACACAAGGCAAGTGCTTCACCATGAACTACACCCAGCCCGTTGGTTCTTTCAGTGTTTTATAGTCTTTTATAAATGCAGCAATCTTTTCCATTTCTGTAGGCTTCACAGAGGCTCACATGCCTACTGCTCTCTCTGACTATGTGTACTTGTATTAGAGCCTGGTGCGTAGGGACAACTGAGTCTCTGGGGTGTTGCTGTGTGGCATAGCTAGCTGGGGACTCAGGCTCTGGTGGAGAGTTTTGTATGCACACCCCCTGGAGGTCATTTGTAAAGGCTTCTTCCTGAGGTGCCTTTGGGAGGTGGCAGAATCTTTAGGGCAGAGGGTCCAATGAGAGTTTCTCAGCTGGCTGGCACTGTGGTCTCAGAAGTGCTGTCTCTCTGTCTTCCCCTCTCTGGTTAGAGATGTGCTTATTTTGTTTCTGTACAGATTCCCTCCACAATGTACCAACTGCACCATGCATAGGTAGTCCTGCCTTCAAATGTCCCAAACTGTGAGATAAATAAACCTTCTCAGGTAGTTCAGGTATGAGTCTCAGGTATTTCATTGTAGTGATGTGAAGCTGACTAAGGCACCTGGCACCTTGTCTCCTGGTTTAGGACTCTGCCCATTGCCCCTCACTGTCTATATAGAAGGCCGAATCTGAGGGTTGTCATTGCTTAGGCTGTCCCTAATTGCCAGGGGCCTTGGTTACAGTGTCTCTCTGTCTCTGCTATAGGGTACCCTGACCCTTAGCAGGAGAGGCTGGAGAACATTTCCTAACAATGGAAATCATGGGGTTCAAGCCAAAAGATGCCAGTACACACACACATGCACATATGTGCACACACATACACTGTCTGTGCCATAAATTCCAGGTCTATGTCCCCCTGTATTTGCACAATCACATGTATGCCTATACACATGTAGATACTCTTGACACTTGTGTACTAATAGTTAATTATTTGCATATTGAATCAGGTGCTGATGCATTCTCAAATATTATATTCACTGATATTCACACACAGACACATGAATAAAAACAATAAATTTCCTTCATACTTTTCCTTTCATTTCTTTCTTTTTGAGGGCCTTGCCATGTAGTCCAGGCTGGCCCTGAACTTGTGATCCTCCTGTCTCAGCCTATGTTCACTCTTAAGACTGTCACGTATCCCATATCCATATCTCCTCACAGATACACGCACATCCACGTTTATACGTTTATATTCCTAAGCACAGAAATGTACATGCTTCTATCTGCCATTCCACATGGTCTACGTATTTCTCTTTGAGGTTACACATCTACTGCACTGAAATAACCACACTTGTATACCTTGGTCTGTGTGTACCCGCGTGATCCTGCGGTCCCACCCTGGACACACAGATGCTGTGGCATGCACACTCATGCACCCTCACAAACACGTGTGTCCGGACAAGCTGGCTGGTTCCTTCTGGAGTTTAGTTCTAGGTCTTTCTCTCCTGCACTGTCTGAGGGCTGCCCTAGATCAGGAGTCTGTTTCTTCCTCCCTCTAGTGTATTCCTGCTTCCAACAATGACCTTCTGCACACTGCAGGGATTCAGAGTGTCCCTGGGAAGGTCAGCTGAAGGACAGATAGTTTAGCCCTCTGCCTTCTTGGAGGGACTGGATGGGAGCTCCTTGGCTTTGCTGCCACCTCTCTCTGCTGTCCTCTGCCTACTCTGGTGAAGAAACCCAGACCCCAGAAGGCACAGTGAGGCCTGGGGACTCCAGCTGTGTCCAGAGTTTCTCTGTGTCCCTGCAGTTCCTGTGGGACTGACCCAGCCTGGAAGTTTCTGACCCTGGGACTCGGACTTGACTGCTGTGGGTCCTTGATGGGAACGGAGAGGCAGAGTCCTGGGCTGTGTGCACCTCTTTTAGCTGTGTATGTACGGACAAGCACAGTCCTCTATGGCCTGTTTTTCTGCCAGCTCTAACTCCCTGTAATGAAAGGAGAAAAGCCATGGCTAGATTATCCCAAAAGTCTAGGAGATAAATTTTTACGTTTGGCTCAGGATAAATTTTTACGTTTGGACCAGGTAATTTGGGATGAGCAAGATCTGAGCTCCAATCCTATTTCTGTCACTTATTAGCTGTGTCCTTAGGTAAACAGCCTGACCTTTCTGGTCCATAGTTTCCTCCACTGTATGCTAGGGAGAGCTCTTTGTCCCCAGGATTGCTGTGTGACGTGTCCAGGCATGCTCTCACAGTGCCTGGCATGCAAGAGTGTCTGAAGTGTTCTTCCAGAATAAGCTGTTTTTCCTGGCAGAGGCTCCTACTAGGAGCCCAGTTTTGCTTCCCACATGCACTCTGAGTGACACGGAAAGAGGTGTGGTTAAGACAGTGGCCAGGGATTTGGTGGTGACAGGGGAGGAAGAAGGTGACAAGAGGGGACCCTTGGCTCCCACAGAGAGCGTCAGGCCTCCAGCCCATCTGCCTCCTGCTGTGTGACCTTGCTCAAGTGGCTTTACCTGTCAGCCATCAGATTCCCTCTCTGTAGAGCAAGGGCAGGACTGGGCCATTTCTAAAAAATTTCCTAGACCCGAGGTAGTGGGGGTTCCTCCCCTAAATCAACCATCTGTAAAATAAAACAAATACACAGATAGTTAAGAAGATAATTAAGCAGGAATATGGACCGTGCCTGCAGGAAAGCAGCAAAGTCTGCCCTGCGTTGGATTTCCTTCAGTAAACAGGGAATGGGTGACCCCACTGCGGGCTGCCCCAGCCAAGCCTCTCACTGGGAGCCTTCTGCCCTTCGAGGGGCTCGCTCCTCCTGCCTTCATCATTTCCCTGGGGTGGCCAAGCTGGCCTTGTCTGGGGTTGGGTTTCCACTGCTGCTGACACTTAGGTTGTTACATGTGCAGTGTAGGTCCCAGGCCACCCGTCTCTCAAGTCAGTGCTCTGGTGTGGGGCCACATGGTGCAGGAGTAACTGTCGTCTGCGGGTTGAGAGGCTGGAGCTTTCTCCTGCTGGTTGCTCACTGGCCCTGTGGTATTCTCTTTCCTGGTCTTAGTTTCCTGCTCTGTAAAATGGGGAGAGCGGCACGAGCTGTGCCTGCTCCACCGAGTGGTGACTGAGACCGAGCCGTCGGTGAACATGAAAATGTGTGGGGGAGGACGGGTGGTACTCAGTGAGCAGAGCTGACTCCCATTGCTGCTACGCCTTGTTTCAGACACCGGGCTTAGCCCTTTTCACACTATGTGTCTGAATCCTCGCGACAGGCTGTGAGGTGGATGCTACTGCTTCCGTTACCTTGCCCAAGTTCCCGGAGCTGTACTGTCTGTGTGGAAAGCTGCTAAGTCAGGAGAGTGGGACAGAAGATGAGGGAGGAGAACGCAAAACCAAGGCTCAGGGAAGTCCAGGGACTGTTTAAGAGCACACAGCTACTCAGTGACTGTGTTGCAGCTTCAGTGGCCCAAATCACCTTCAGGTCATCATGAGCACTATTGCCATCACCATCATCACCATCACCATCACCACCATCACCATCCCATCCCCCATCATCATTGCCATTGCCTTCATCACCATCACCATCACCATCACCATCATCATCATCATCTCCACCATCACCATCACCATCAAGACCATGTAGCAAGCAGGGAACTTACTGCGATAAACAGTTGCTTGTACAAAACACATTTAATGACTAGTGTTTTACAGATGAAGAAACTGAGGCATAAAGACATGTAGCAAGAAATCAATGGTTTAGAGGACTTTAAGGCAGTAGTGTATACAGGACTTGACAGTAGCATAACTAGGCTTCTCACTCTGCTTCTAAGGTTAACTTTAGCCCGAACTGATTTTTTTCACAAGATGCCTTGTTTCCTTCAAGTAAGTACAATTGATGTGTGTGTATGTGTGTATTTATTTATGTTTTTTTGTGGTATGGTGGTATTGGGGATTGAGCCCAGGGCCCACTACTACCAAGATATACCAGCTCTTTTTATTCTGTTATTTTAAGTCAGGGTCATGCTAAATTGTACAGCTGCACAGGCTGGTCCTAGACTCATTATCTTTCTGCCTCAGCCTCCCAAATAGCTGGGATTATAGGTGTGCACCACCGCACTCACAACTATTAACTTTTTTCAAGAACTGAGAAAAATTTCTCATAGACTATTCACCCATTGTAGAAATTTAAAACATATAGAAATATTGACAGACTGAAATAAGAATTACCTTCAAGTCTATGAGTCAGGGTTAATTGCTGCTAACATTTACCAATCTCTGCTGTGTAGTCCTTTTCTAGTGTAATTGTTTTAAACCTTTTAATCATAGAAGATTTTAAACACATTCAAAAATAGAGCAAATAGTACAATCCATGCAGTATATCATTTTGGCTTCTGTAGCCATCAGTCTTCTGCAACCTTTCAGTTGAATTTGAAACCATTTTATTGTAATCTAAAAATGTAGCCTGGTGAATAACTGTGGGGGATCTGTGCTCCCATGTTAACCCTTGCAGCCACTGCCAATGCTGGGTCTTTATACACAGCACTGAACAAGACAGTAGACACCCTGGAGCCCCGAGGTACAGCTCCAGAGAGCCCACAGAAGCACCAGCCCCTCCACCTCCTTGGGGAAGACCGAGGCAGTAATAAATATTTCAGGGAGGCAGCCATCCTCAGCAGGAAGCAGCGGCTTGTATTTTCACTCACTCACCATGGTTGTCTCAGCAATGGAGCCAAAGCTGTTGATGAAAATGTTGCAGCTCACATTCACGGGCGGACCTGCCAATCAAGAGAGATTCACCCCTTAGAGAGACATCACAGGCTGGGACCCACCCCTGGAGCTGACCTCCGGGAGGGATCCCCCTGCTGGAGCCGCCTCCTGCTCGCCCCCACCCCACTCCCAAACACCCTGGATTCCCAGCTTCCATTTACCATCCCTACACCAGGTTCCCTCATCCGCAGGTGAGCAGCAGGTACACAACACCAGAGGCCAAGCTGAGATGTACTTTCATTAGCGCAGGAAGATTCATCATCCTGCCATATGGTTGAAATCTCTTCCCCAAGTCCCATCGGCTGCCTCCTAATTTGTATCTGAAATATATTTCTGGCTACAACATTTGGAAGCCATCTTGGGAATTGCGAGGAACAGCCAGTTCCTGGCCTTGAACTTATGAACTAAGAAAGATTCGTGAAAGGGCCATGATGGGAATTACCAGCTCAGGAGTCCAGAGGGACCCTCAAGGAAAGTCCACACTGGTCTTTGTTAAGTATTGACCGGGCCAGTTTTTTTTTTTAATCTTCCTGCAAAGGTTAGGAAGGAAGTGGAGGAGTATTTGCTGCTTTGTTACCTTGTTGCGGGGTGGGGGAGGGGGGCGGCGGCAGGGGGACACTGTCTAGTGGAAGTGCCATGTCTCTTCATTTTATCCTATTAATTAAGGCAGTTAACATTGACCAAGCATTGCAGGGTTCCCTCCTGTGCTGAAAGTATCACTAACATTACCTCCTAGCCTCTCTACAGCTCTGAAAAGGTATGGTGATCACCTTGCTTTTGCAAATGAAGCAAGAGAGGCACAGAGAAGTTAAATGATTTGTTCAGGGCTGCACTGATAGAAGATGGTTGAGGCAGGGTCTGAATTTAGATTTGTCTAGTTTTAATTATCTTAATCTGATTATCTTAATGGCTACACTGTGGGAAAGATTCAGAGGAGGAAGAGGCAGCTCCTTGTCCCTTAGAGCAGGACCCACAGGAGGGAGTAACTGGAGGGAACTGTAAGATCCCCAGGGCAACCATAGGAAGCAGTGGCGTCCAGATGAGGAAGGTGCTGACAGGAAAGTGCTCACAGAGTGATGACTTGGCGCTGGCTTGCATGTGGTCAGGACTTGATAACAGGTCACACCCTCATGGAGATTGTCATTTGTGAGTTTTCTTAGGTCCAGTTTCTTGTGGAGCCCCGTGAGGGACAGAGGTAGATGGGAATAATTACTGTTCCTGTTTCACCAGTGACCCTAGAGAGTTTTATGGGCTTACTCAGGCTCATTTAGCTGCAAGAGGGTAGAACCAAGGTTTGCTAATTGTGGAAAGAAAAGAGTAGCTATCATTATACCCTCTGTAATACACTCCATTTTATCTTTCTTTAAAAAGGTCCCCCAGGCATGCACCCAAACTCAGCTAAGATTTTCTTTCTTTCTTTTTTTTTTTTCTCTCTAGAAATCTTGGTGGATAAGAGAGGACTTAGTCTTGGGGTAAGAATCTAGGGTTTTTCTCCTAAGGAGGTTCGAGTTCTTTGGGGTTAGATGTAACATCAGTGCTTCCTGGCTGCTTGATCTTGTGGATGCATCACCTTTGTGTGTGTGTGTGTGTGTGTGTGTGTGTGTGTGTGTGTGTTACTGGAGACTGAACCCAAGGCTTTCACACTGAACTACATCTTCACCCTTTTGTAAAACTTTGAGACAGGATCTCTCTAAGTTGTTAAGTTGCCCAGGCTGAGCTTGAACTTTTGATTTCGCTGCCTCAGCTTCCTAGAGGATTGTAGGCATGCGCCCCTATGTCCAGCTCACCTCTTGTGTTTTGTGGGTCTTAGTTCCTCAGTCATTTCCTCTCCCATGGAGGGACAATAGCTCTTGACCTAGGCAGTCATTCTTAGCTCTGGTTCTTTACATTCTGCTATGGAAATGATCCATGTCAAATCTATTTGAATTTTAGGGTTCTAAGCTTTCAGAGCTGGAAGGGTTCCTTACAAGTCACTTCATTCACTGGTTGCCCAACCAGGGTGCAGACGAGGCTATTTGCAGCGGAATCACCTGGAAAATGTTAAATCACAGATTCCTTGGCTGGACCCTGCACAAAGTGATCTCAGATCTCTGGTCATTAGCCCAGAGTGTAGTGTTTACTGGGCTGCACAGCCAGGTTGGGGGATCCCTGCCTTAGACCAGTTTCCCTTGTGAGGCTGAGGACATGAACATCTCTGGCCGTGAGGAATTCATTGTGCTGCCGGGAGCAGCCTTTTCTGTGGCCCAGCAGCGCTCTGTGTTAACAAATTGCTTCCGTATGCTGAGTGGAAATCTGCCTCATTGTCATTTCCACCTAAATAAACAAAAGGCTTATTTTTTTCGCCCTCATTTAGCGTTGGTCTCAAATTTTTCTTTTCGTTTAGCCTCATACCATTAAGAGGCTCCAAAGAGTTACTGCTGTGCCTCCGAATGAGGGGCGCGGGTCCCCAGCCCAGCCTGCAAGTGTCTGGTGCTGTGACTCTCATATAAATTAGATCCTGATTTATGTGTGAGAGATGGCGTCAGCCAAAGGGACCCCATAGGGAGGCACGGTTTGTTGATATAAATCTGAAATTAAATTATCTTGAGAAAATTACAATCCGGCTGCCTTTGGCAGCAGGGATAATGTATATATCTCATTAAATATTAAAGTTTAATTTTGATGTTGGGTCTGTGTTTGCATTGAGCTGTACCCCTGATCCAGAGAGGCATTGTAATATGTAAAGTCTTAGAAAAGACGCAGGATGAGTGCTCGGAGGATGGAACCCCATTGAGTCATTTCACAGATGCTGAAGTGGAGATCCAGGTGCGGTCAGGATTTATTCAGGGCCACACACATCAGGTTTGTAGCAGCTCCTGCCTTCCAAGTTATAATTGGCATTGGTTCTGCTCAGCAGGTGCCGCCTGCAGGTCCTGGCCACCCTTACCTTCAGGAGGGGTCAGGAGCAGGAAAATCTCTGGTGTCTGAGGAAGCTGCTGAGTGATTAATTGTGAGGCTTTCAGACAGTGGTAACCTCTACCTTTGTGCTGGGGTCGCTGGAGGCCTGACCTGCAGGCCTTTTCAGGAGCACTGTGATTTGTTTGTGGCTCTTGAGAATCTTTGTGCCCCAATGGAATTGTGAAAGGAGTCATGGGATTTAAGGGGGCAGATATCTTTTCTTGCAGACCTTCTACCCCTTACCACAAAGCAGACCCTTTTCCTGGCTCTTGGAATGAGGTACAGGAAGCTGCATCTTACTTCAAGTCAGGAGGGGGCCAAAGAGGTTAGAGTCTGTGTGGGAGAAGTCCATGAGGTTATCTGCTCTGCAGATCTGGGGTCTGAGTACCTTGAATATGGGGAGGGGAAGGGCCCTGATTCAGTGGTCTGAATTAAATTTTTTCTTAAAATAATGTCCACTGCTAGCTGGGGGTGGGGGCACATGTCTGTAAGCCCAGTACTCTGGAAGCCTGAGGCAGGAGGACTGCAAGTTCAAGCCCAGTCTGGGCAACTCAGTAACTTAGTGAAACTCTGTCTCAAAATAAAAATAAAAAGGACTGTGGATAGTTCAGGTACAAAATCTTGGATTCCATCTCTGATCACCACCAAATAAAACCAAACCAAACTTAACTAAAATCCATTGCTGTGTAAGTAAGCAAATAAATAAACAAGCATTAGATAGACAAATGGAGTCAGAGTAACTGGGCTAAAAATCCCTGGTCAGAGAGTCCTTGGTCACCAGGCATGGTGGTGTATGCCTGTAATCCCAACACTCAGGAGGCAGAGGCAGGATTGCTGGGAGTTCAAGACCAATTTGGGTTATACAGTGGAGCCTTGTTTCTCTCTCTCTCTCTCAAAACAAAACAAAACAAAACAAAACAAAACAAAAAAGTTCCTGGTCTTTGCAGCCTTGGTTTGGTAGTCATTTAACAGTCAGTGTGTTTGCTAGCTGTTATTGGTGTCTGGATGTTCCCCTAAAGCCTCATGCAGTCATGGGGGTGGGTGGGCCTTTTGAAGGTGGCTGAGCCTAGTGTTTGTCATTGATTCTTTGTCTAGTGCTAGGACTGGCAATGTGAGTGCTGCACCTACCAGGGTGGGTAACCCACATACAGTGTAAGAGAGGGAAGGAGGCCTACTTTCCCTTTTTGCTCTTGTTGCTTTTGCTGTCTTTTGCTGCCCTTGAACTGTGCTCCTGTGCCATGTCATCCTGCCTTGGAGCCAGCTGGTTATGGACTGAAACGTCCACAAACTGTGGGCTAAATACACCTTTCTTTCCTTAATTTTGGGTGTTGGGTGTTTTGTCCCAGCAACAAGAGAAAAGTAACCAAGATGCTGGCTCATTTGTTCATTCATTTATGAAAGGTTAGTTGAGGGCTTTTTATGCACCAGGTTGGGTGGTGTGCACAGAGGATAACTAGGATATGAACCACAGGTACATCCACATGTGGCATATGAGTGAGGCTTCCTTGGAAGAGCAAGGTTTGGCGCCTCTGCTCAGGATGAAGTTCTGAGAGGGCCCACCACGGGGCGTAGTGGGCTGAAATGCCTATAACAAATCTGCTTGGCTTGGAGGATCCAATGTGGTGGCTGAGAGCCCTAACCAGTTCTTGAACAAGTTTGGTTTAGCTGATGGTGCTTTTAAAAGATGTGATTGTGATTCTAGTTTGCAAATGTTCATGCAGAACCTCGATTTAAGTCTATCCTTAGAAGGCCTGGCTACCAGGGCTGCGTTCCCTCCCGGCAGCCATTGGCAGGAGCTGAGAAGTAGTGGCCCTTAGCGGGGTGCTGTGTTTCCTGTTTTTGTCCTCTTAGCCCCATCCCACTGCATTCATGGACCCTACACACGTGGCCTCTCTGGCTATTTGAGATTGTGACTCTGGCAAAGGTTATATGTCAAATGCTGTGAAAGTGACTTTGGTCTTGACTTTCCTGTCTCTGGAGGAACCACAGTTCATGCCATCGATGATGGAGATCTGGGCACAGAGGCCCGGGAGGTTTCCCCGAGCACAGACCCTGGCGAGTCTCCTAGGTCCAAAGCTCACAGATTGTGGGGAGCACACTCAGAAGGGGACTCGGAGGCATACGTTATGAAGCTGCTGCCAGCTGCCATGTCCCTTGTTGGCTGCTGGGCTTGAGCCAAAGGGACCGTGAAGAAGGGCTTCAAAAATCAGTAACTGATGTGGAATTGGCTGTGGGCCCTTGGAGTAGGATTTTGTTTGTGTTTTTGAGACATGGTCTTGCTATCTAGTCTAAATAGGCCTTGAACTCACTATGTAGGCTAGCCTTGAATTCATGAGAATCCTTCTGCTTCAGCCTCTCGAGTGCAGGGATTACAGGCTTATGTCTTAACATGGCAACTCTGGACGTTGCCCAGGATTGTAAGACACTGATAACCTTCTAAGGCATCAGTGGGCACTGAGGCCAGGCCTCCCTCATTCTAGACACTCAGAGCTTACAGGGCCACGAGGGCAAAATGACTCTGGATTAGGGTCTGTGATCTAGCAAACCATGGGGCATGTCTGGCTCGTGAACACATCTTATTTGAATTTCTGTGTGTTGAATGAGGAAGTTTCATGTACACTTTGATGACTAGCTTTTCTTTTCTATTTTTTTTTTAACTGAGGATTGAACTTACAATGTCACACCTGCCAGGCATGTGCTTTGCAGCTGAGCTAAATCTCTGGTTCTGATGTCTGGCTTTTCTTGGAATTCTTGATGATCTGACAACAGAGACCCTGTATTCCTACAAGGCCCTGTGGGTTATGGCATGGAGGAGGCTTCCGCGTTCGAAGAAGCTGGTACTTTTTTTTTTTTCTGGTGCCCCATTTTATCCATGGTCTCTACCATTCCCTATTGTCTCGCTTTTGCCCTACCTGACTCATTTAAGTTCCTTCTTAACCCTGGGGGATTAACCTTGAAATTGTGATTCTGATCTCGATGAGATATCTTCAGAATTATTTGTTAATCTTGAATGGGAAGCCCCTTATCAAAACAAAAATGGGGCTGCTTGGGGAGAAGTGGAGGAAGAATTGCTCATTGTCCCTTTTGGGGCACCAAGTAGAAACCCCGCAATTCCAGGAAGGTTATATTTAAACACTGTGGGTGTAGCCAAGCCCAGCACTGCAGAGCTGAGGAATTGAGGGTCCAGAGAGAGGGAAAGGCTGATCCAAGCTCATAGAGTATGCCCACAATCAAGCCGAGACCCGAATCTACTATATCATGCCTTCCGTCCATCCTCTTGTCGATTATACCAGAGGGAGCAAGTTGGTCTTGATTCACTTACAGATTCCAATCAACTAAAGGTACTGTGGAGTTGGAGCCTCTGAGGCTTTGTCTCAGCTTGGTGGGAGAAAACATTGAGCTGATAAGCACTGCTGGCCTTGGAATCCATGCCATGTACACACAGTACCACACTGTTTGCTTCTATAACCTGGGAAAGCATTTTCCAATGGATAGAAGGGAATGTTTTTTTCTCTACCTTTAAAATTGGGCCTGATCCTGGCATCGTATCCGGAAGTTCTCCCCATGAGCTTATCCAGGAAATCTGAGGGTGACATGGACTTGGGAGCAGAGCGAGCGGCTTCGGCCTCCTTGGAAGCAGCGAGGCTAAGGGACAGAGGAAAGCAAAGGGTTAATGATGGCTCCTTTTCATGCTGTGATTGGGTCCTGGCCTTGTCCATCTGCTGCAGAGCTGCCAGAGTGTTCTCTCTGGAGGAATGGGTCAGGGGGGTCCTTAATGAGCAGAGGCCTGGGCTAAAGTGTTTATCCAGCTCCCATACAAGCCAGCTTGGGATCCCGGCAGGCAGCCAAGGGCCTGACAAGACTGAGAAACCACTGAGTCCTTGAAGGCTTTGTGTCTGGGGTTTGAGGTCATCACTCTCCTCCTGAGAGAGGAGAGTGAGGGTGAACCCTCCTTACCTCCTCCCTGGAAGAGCAGGGTTAACCCTCTGGTAGAGTCAGCCCTGAGGTTTGGGTACCTGCACATGGTAGGTCCAGGAAATAATTTGGCCAGAAGTAACTTTACAGTAGAAACCACCCAGCATTTTCTCAAGGATTCTCTTCAGAATCAGCCATGGATTAAACAAACAAAACAAAACAAAAAATTTCCAGAGCCAAATGTATTTGGCATATAAATTTAACCAGACATGCTCACTTTGAATCTCTCTGGAACCTTTCACAAGCTCATATTCTCATGGGTTTGGGGGGCTATGGTCTCACGAAACATCTGCTTTAGAAAACGCTCAGTTGGGATTGTTGAGGCCCAGCCAGTGGAAGGGAACAACAGAAGCCCTAGAGTTATGATTGGTGGTTTCTGCCACTTTGTACAAATCACTGTGTGCACTTCACACACCAACAAAGTGGTCCCAGATCCTCATTCACACCAATATGTATCACGAATGTCTATGAACAGTGACTCCTCCCCTCCCGCCCACACTCTCAAAGGCACAGGGCTTTCAGTTGTCACCACGAGAGGCTGCAGGGTTGAGGATCCACCGCTGGGTCTTATGGGCCCCTGAGAATTCCCAACCCTGCATTGATGCTCGAGAGGTAGCCGGAGCTGTGTGCCATGCTGCCCTGCACTCCGGTGGCTGATATGTGGGAGGAAGTGGATGCTTGGTGGGAGAGGAGTGTGAATCTGGGTGTGTTTGTCAGAGAGAAGCTTCTGCCCAGGCACTGTGCTCCCTCCCCAGGGTGTGTACTCAGCTTCCCCTGCCCTTCGCCTCTGCGCTTTTCCTGAGCCCATCCGCTGTTAATTGTCAAGTGACCTGCTCCGAAGGCTGACTCCCACATCCACTCCATCTGCATGTCTCCTTTCAAAACCTTTTCCTCAGTGACCAACATCTGCAGAACGCGTCCTGTTGGTGTCTTGTCTGTACCACTCATTTACCTTCCAGGATAGATGCTGTGCTTTCTTTCCCATGACGCCTTTCCAGATCCCAGGGACCCCAGACAACACCTGTGTGTCTCTGGGCGTCAACAAGCCTGGGGGCCATCACCTGGCCTTGTCCTGTTCTTTGCTTCCACCCCTTCTGGGCCATGAGCCAGGCCGCTGTGTGATGTGCTTTTCAAGCAGGGATCCTGCTGGTTTTTATTTGTTTACTTATTTATTGTTTGTTTGTTCTCTTAATCCTCTACTGTGTGTGCCATGGTGCCCCAGACTTGATTGGTGCTTGGCGATAGCATAGTGAGTGAGTGAATAAATAATATGCGACTTTATTTAATCAATTATCCTGGCTTGTACGAAGTGATCATAAATATTTATGTATAGACTAGCAATTTAGAATCAGATATTATAAAAGCCATTGCCAGAACCTGGCGTTTCTTTGCCGGTCTGGAAGGTATTCCAGGATTGCTAACACACTCCGGTTGGTAATCTGAAGAAGCCTCACTCGTGTTGGAAGGAGCTGCTTTTGATGGCGTGGGTTAGGAATAAGCACACTGCTGGTTTGTATGTGTGCAGCTGTGGGTGTCGGAGGGTTTCCGTGACGTGGGTAGACTTCTACGTGTGACGTATGTGTGTGTCATGTATACGGATGAATGTGTGTGTAAGGGGTGTGTGCTGGGATTACAGTGTGCACCAAGAGGTTTGTGGAAGTGGAGCAAGTTTGTTACATAGATTAGTGTGTGCGGCCGGGGACATAGCCCAGTGGCACAGCACCTGCTTGGCAAGCATGAGGCCCTGAGTTTGATTCCTGGTACCAAAAAATAAAATTAGATTCTTAGATTAGTGTGTACAGAAATGTGAATACTTGTGTTTGTGGCAAGCACGGCATTTGATATGGGGATTTTTTTTGTGTATGTGGGGTGTACATATACTTGTGGTAGAAGGTGTGAATATAAAATGCCTTTGTGAAGTATGTTTGTGGTATGTATTTGCATGTATTTATTTTTGATCTGTATGAGGAGATATATAGAATAGTGCAAAAGAGGAGAAGAACAGAAGAATTGGAATCCATCCTCTGTTGGTCATTTATTAGCTGCATCAAGTTATTTAAGTCTTTCTGAAGTTTAGTTTGCTGGACTATCAGATTAGTTTTTACAAGGAGTTGCTGGGATAGCACAGGTGAAAATTCCTGGATCAGTTTTTGGAGTACAGGAGGCACTCATTCTGTTATTTTCACCTTGCAGTGCGTGTGTATGTGCGTGCATGATTGTATGTGTGAGTGTGCACACACATGTGTGTTTGTGTGTGTGTATAGCAGTTCACAGCCTGAAGAGTAGTTTCACCTTGTCTCACACTGCTTTAGGCTGTACCACAGAGCTGGCATGGCATGATGGTCTTTCCAGGTGCTGTCCATGGCACCATCAAGACCACGGTCCCAGCCTCAACCCCTGTCAGGTGTAAACTCATGATTGCTTCGTGCTCTGTTGTGGGCAGAGGCGAGTGACATGCAAATTTTCAGCACTGTCGTCCTGTTCCAGGCCCTCTCTAGGAATGGCAGGCACGAAGTTCCACAAGCTCCCTTTTCACACAACTCTGCCTTTTCCTAATAGGATCTGGGGATGTGGTCCTCCCTCCCCAGCCACTTGAGCTCACACACCATTGCTCGGCCCTCAGGCCTCTTTCATAAGCCCGAATCCTATTAGGCGGTACAGTGGGAGGATGAATTTGCCCCAAATTATTCCCTACCACTCGCTATGAGTGTAGAGTGCCATTTAATAGTAGAATCCTCCCCAAAGCCAGCGTGTCCTCTGCCTAGTCTAGGTCTCTGCAAGGTATCTGCATTTAGTCTCGTGTCCATTGCTTCACTCAAAACCCAGCGCTGAGCTGAACTAGAGGCAACCAAAACTCTGAAAGGTTGAGTAACTGCCTTCAGGTCACACAGCAGCTTCTGGGAGAAGGGATTAGAACTTTGATTTCAAGAATTGATGCATACAGATGCCACAACATTTGAAAAAGCCCTTTGTAAATGGTGAAGAGTGTACATCAGGATGGTTTCTATTACTGTTTTGTGTTTGACACTTATAACATATGCCAAGAAAACTAGAACATGCGTCTGACTTCTAGTGACCCCGACATGCACACTGTGGAATTTACTGCACTTAAAAACAGAAGATCTCATGTGGATTATCAAACAACCCTCTGTTGTCTCAAAGGATTCAGATGGAAGTTCCTTTAAAAGTCTCATGTCCAGTCTCTCCCCATATTGTTTACTGTAGCTTTTCACTTTCATAAGTTTTGCCCTGTGTGTGTTTTACATCTACACTGATCTGGAGTCTGAGGCCTTCCCTAGGTCACAGCGGAAGATCAGCAGCATTGAGAGGCATCAGAGACTTAGCAGGACCTCTGCGTTGAAGGCAATTGGCACAATATTAAGTCAGTGTTACTGTGTGTTTTCAGCAGCAGCCAATCACACCGCCCTTCCTCACAGCCCCAGTCCAGAGATTCCTTTAATTTTCCTCAATACAAAAGCTCCATTCATTTTTATGCCAAAATAGCCCTTTTCCTCCACTTGATAATCCTTGTACATTTCTGCCTATATTTAGACAGTACAATTTGCACAGGATTATTTTAAGCCCCTCACCCCTCCAGGGGATCTGCGCTGGGCGCATCTGGGTAGAGCAAATACGCCCTGGGGAGCTCCTGATGCGTGTTTGGAGCTGTCACTTTGAAGGACTTAAGGCTTTGTTCGTGGACTGTGAGTTACTGGACAGAGAAGCTGGGAATGAATCTGAGAGGTGAAATCCTCAATCATTAGGATTTTCTGACCTTGCCAAAGTATTAGGAAATGATGCAAATTGTTTCAGGGATTACCGAATGTTATGGGTGGATCAGACTTTGTTGAGACAGATTTGATTAACAGTAGTTTTCAGAAGGTCAGTGAGGTCTTTGGGGATAAAGTTTTCTGCTCCCCTCACTGAAGGTGAATGGTTTATGGTGTCTTCAGTGACAGAATATGTGAGATATCTATCAATTTTGACCTGGGATCTGTTACACTAAGAGCCTTTGGTACTTAGAGGACCTGTTGTGACTATCAGTGGCACAGGAGATGGAAATGTCCAGAAGTAAAGTTCAGTGGAGGGCTAACAGCAGGGTGATATCACAAAGATCGGGCCATGGCCTTTGGCTCTTGACATTTAGTCTCCCAAGATAAAAAGTGAGGGTACTAGGGAAATCCCTTAAGGGTCCTCCAGCCCTAGGCCTTCCTTTTATGAATCTATAACATTCCCTGCTTTCATGCATTGAGCTTGGGAATGAATTTGTCTGGACTACTTCGAGAGAAAATGAGTATGTTTGTCTTCCCCAAAGACAAGAAAAGCTGGATGGTTCTTCCCATCCAGTATCAAGACTTCTCTCCAGTGGGCTGAAGTGCTTCTCAAGGGTTTGTTGGAAGAAAGACAAGATCAATGATGCTCAGATTCTCATTCTTCAGTTACAACATCAATTGGAAATAAGGAATCAATATGCAACCATCAATCTGAATTTTAAATGACCGATGCTTGGCAATAAGACTGGGGAGAAATGATTTTGTTTATACTTTGCATGGTACAGCACACTCAAGAACACCCTGACAGATGCCACCTCCCCAGCTCACTGTAGGCACAGAAGTTGTGGAAGCCAAGGTACGAAAAGGGGTGCATGGGCAAGAAGTGATAGGAGAGGA